TCTTTTTTCTTGCTGAAATATGGTAACCCTACTCATTCCCGTGCCTTTGTTGTCAGTTGCATCCAATCAGAAGACTTCATGCAAATTAGAGTGATACCCTCACAGCACCAGCATCTGATTTCTCCATTGATTTGCACTGTGCTGTTGCTGAGATATCACAACGATAAATACCCTAGAAATACATAACTAGAAAGGCAGACCCCAAAATGGGTGTAGAACAATGAGACCGTCAGCAATGATTAGTAGGGTCAAGTCGGGAGAAATCCTCTTCCCACGACAGCTCTATAAAGTCAATAACTTTCCAGGCAGGAAGGCCTTTGACTTCTCATTTACACAAGCCCAGTCTGGTGATTCTGTGCCTGGACTGGAGATGGGAAGGATGGCCCAGTTGTTATGATGCTGGCCTGTGTGCTTGACTCTAGTTCAAGTCCCTGCTTTGCCACAGAATTCCTGTGAGACCTCAGACAAATCACACAGGGTGTATTTACACTGCAGCTGGAAGCAGGTAGACAGACTCACACTAGCTCCACTCAAGCTAATGTGCTAAAGGTAGCAGTGTGGACCTTGTGACGTGGGCAGCAGCTTGGGCTAACAATCTGAGTCCAGTCCTGCCCAGTCCCTGGGGTCCAGCTCAAGTGGCTAGCCCGTAGCCACACTGCTATTTTTAGCACACTAGCTCAGGCCTCACTAGCGTGAGTCTGGCTACCCAGACTGGGAGGTTCGCTCCCAGTTGCAGTGTAGACATACTGTTAGTCTCTCTGGGACTCAGTTCCCCATCTGTAGAATCTCCATGATCTGTGCAGAGGTAATAAAGCCAAAGCTCTTGGCATGACAATCCTGCTGCCTGCCAGAAGAGCTTACTAGGGAGTTAGACCCAGATTGTCTAAGGTATTTAGGCCCTAACTCCTACTGAAATTAATGGGAGTTAGGTTCCTAAGTACCTTTGAGGATCTGGGCTTTCCAAAGATCAAACAGGCCTTCAGATGAGAGCATCAGAATCCTGGAACTGTTCTGTATCCCCAGCAGTGCAAAAGCTTGGCGTGGGAGTGACCAACTCTCCAGAAGGGGCCTGCCTGCACAGCAGTAGCACACACCTTTCTGATCCC